ATAGACTCAAATAAAAGTATTGGTGGCCTTCGGCTGTTGTCTGCTCTGTGGTCGGGTTGTTGTCTCTTTGACACATTCCCCATTTCCATTCTCAATTTTATTGATCAAACAATCACAGGTGAAGAGAAAAAAAAAGAACATAGGAAATCATTTGCGTATTATATTCCCGAGTTCATGATTTTTCGTATCCAGGGATCACATATTGATTACGAAATCATTGTTGTTCATGCAAACGTAAACAATGAAGTCTTGCTTTCAACTGACTTGTTTTTTGTTTTTCTAACAATATTATATCCATGTTGTCATTGTGCATATATTTACATAGTCATACAAGGAAATGCAGTTTATAAGATGATGATACAGCAACCCAACGGCAACAATAATCATAAGACATATTCGGGCAACACACAGATTACTACGATCGACAGTCAAATATATACACAATATGTTGAGTAGATCTTAGATGAATTTTGTAATTTTTGTAGGTCCCTTTTGGTCATTCCGCTCTTCGTGTGCAAAGCCCAGGGTCTTGTACATGTTTTGGCTTTCAATCGTTTTGGATTGACGTTTCGGATTAAAGTTAATACAGAATAGATCTGAGGACGTACGAAATTGATATATTGTTATTTTCATTTATGATCTAAATAACCATGATCACTTTTTTCATCGGTTAAAATTTTTTGTTTGTCCACAGTTCTGAATACAATTCTTTCATTCTTTTCGGCAAGTAGTCGTCATAAAAAAAACTCGTCTACACCACTGTGTGGATGATTTCGATGAAATATTTGCTTGTTTTTTTTCGCCATTAAATTCACAATTGATGGTACAATGGGGATCTTTTTGTTATTTGTTATAAGATTCAATAGGTTGCAAATTCAATAACAATAATAGAACTAGTCAGAATATGTCATTGCCTGTCAACTTGTTATATATGCCAACTTAACTTCCAACCTTCTGCTCATGTATGTTTTACTCATGCACATGTATGTATATTTTAACTAATTTAAGATGAATCTTTTTTTTCTTACAAAAAATAAAAAAATGTGCAAACATTGTTCACTCAGCCACGTTCTGTTTATGCCTGTCACAAGCCATGAACCTATTATTCAGTGGTTGTCGTTGATTGATGTGTATCATACATTATGTTTTTCGTTATTGTTTTGTAAAGGGATTTTTTTTAGCATACTTACTACAAATGTAAATTTGGTTTTGCTCGTTGTTGAAGGCTTTTGTCTTCTCATGTTTTCGTTGATGTTTCCTGCCTACAAGGAAGCTATTCAATCAGGGTTTTCTGATGGGACAGTTCTTGTCGTCCCACGAAAAGTGTAAATGGGCGCTGAATGGACGATAGGGAGTGTTTATGTCACAAATGACCACGGATATGTCTCATCATCTTTTCCTCTATTATGATATTGCTATTATTATTGAGTCATACACCGGCCACTACTTTGCAAGGATAATACTGATATTAAAGATGACAAACACTCCACAAATCAAAAGACGATATTATCATGTTCCATTTCGGTATTCTGATTCAACATTAAAGATTTAAATTCTTCTTTCTTTTTATTTCATACATTTTTTTGAATATGTATCAGTTTTATCAATTCTAAAAAAATAATACGTAAGTGATAGTCAGAGGCTTAATATAAATCGAAATGTCAATACGATTTAGGATCAATCCCTTATTTGTTAGGTTAAGGGTTTTATACTTGCTTAGCATGCTATTTATTTCATTATAAAAATAACAATATATTAAAAACCAGATGAAATTAGGGAAATATGTTGCTTCTTCCGATTTACAAAATGTCACTTAAGGTATCATCTGATAGGTTACTTCACACTGATTCCAAAAATATATGATTCTATGTACTTTTAAATGAAATCATTGTAGGAAATGGCTACTTCCGGTTTAATAAAGGTCACTTCTGGTTGACCTTTTCAAGGTCATATATCTACCAACATAATGCAAAAAAACCCATGGCTTTATCATGTATAAATATGAATTTATAGCAAAGGTCAAAATCTAGAACATCAAATTAACCTTTGACCTTTATCAAAATTTCAAAGTCATAAAGCAAGGCCCTAGGATTCTTCTTTAAATGGTTAATGAGTTATGTCACCATACAGTTAATTTTAGATATAAGAGGGAAGAAAACTCCCATTAAATGTCAGCGTACCCTTTTAACCAAAATGTTTGTATTACGACATGTCGCAACTAACAATTTAATAAAAATGTTTTGTCGATATATTATACGCTTTCTAAGAGGAGCTACAAAAAGCCAAAATCAAATTTCAGAACATGACCTTGATCTCATTTTGTGTTTGGTGGACCCTGGACCTCAAATCAAAAGACCCTAGGTCTCTATTACCTATGGTTTACCAGTCACAAATACATATCGCTTATATCAAATACATAAGGGGAAATTACTCTCATATGGAGTCGACAGATTGCTTCGGTCAAAATTTTAGAAAAAATCCTAAGGATATAACGATTAATTTGAAAAAATAAATTTGTCGCTTTCTTTTACGGTTGCGAAAGAGTAGCAATCACAAGGAAAACAGTGTTTGGAGAGATAAATCTTGCAAGGAAAAGTGTTCGGTTAAACGGTGTCATTTTAAAAGGGTATATACTGTCTGATATCATATACCAAATATCTGTACGACATCTTGCGAAACAAAATCTCTTCGCAAGAAATAAAAGTGGCGGAAGAAAAAAAATAATATTGATAATTAAAAACCAATGAAGGTCTTTCCACCCCAAGTAGACATATCTAGAAAGGAAAATATTCAATGTCAAATCTGGTGTCAGATAATATATTAATTTATGCTGATTCCGAAAATATATGGTTTTTATATGCTTTCTTTAAAATAAGGGAGATAAGAAGGTACTTCCGGTTTACAAAATGCTATTTCCGGTTACATTCCAACCTTACTTCACACTGATTCCAAAAATATATAGTTCTAGTAACTTATACATGAAAATAATACAAAAATGGCTACTTCCGGTTTACAATAGGTCACTACCGGTAAACCCTCTTCAAGGTCATATATCTGTTACCCAATGTAAAAGACCCTTTGACTTTATCTTGAATCAATAAGAAGTTAAAGCTAAGGTCAAAATCTCGAACGATAAATCAGACTTTGACCTTGACATCAATGTTAAGGTCATAAAGCAAGGGCCTCAAATCAAATGACCCTAGGTCTCTAATAATTATAGTTAATGAGTTATATCACCATACAGCTAATTTTAAATTTAAGAGGGGAGAAAACTCCCATTAAATGTCTACGTACCATTTCAACCAAAATTAATGTGTAACAACATGTCGCAACTAACAATTATCATGATTATATAAAAACATTTTGTCGATATCTTATACAATTTCTGAAAATAAGTGATAACAAGACGATATCAAAAATTAGAATATTACCTTGACCTTGGACCTTGACCTCAGCAATTTGGATAAATAAATTTGTCGGTTTCTACTACGGTTGCAAAGTATTATAAATAACAAGAAAAACAGTGTTCGGGAAGATAACTCTTACGAGGAAAAGTATTCGGTTAATCGGTGTCAGTTTCAAAAGCGTATTAACTGTAATATTATATACCAAATATCTAAGCAACATCTTGCGAAACAACCAAACAGCGGAAGAAAAAAATTAGGCGGAAGAGAAAAAAATTATAATCAGAACAAAAGCAAATGGTCTTTCCACGGAAAAGTGGAAAGACCTAATAATCATCAGAACAAAATCATGGAATGAAAGGACGGTTAGCATAGATGATTCGTGTGAACGGTGGTTTCACTCGGTATTGACATTGTCGTGTTTTCTTTGTAATGTAGCGTATCTAAGCAAAATTAATTGTGATATTGAACTTTTCTACTTGTAAGCATCCAAAGAAGTTAGTCATAGTAAATTTTTATTACACAAGATATCCTTATGATTTTCAAAAGAGAGGCAAAAGATACCAGAGGGAAATTCAAACTCATAAGTTGAAAACAAAATGACGACGCCATGGCTAAAAAAGAAAAGACCAACAGAAAAACAATAGCACAAAACACAACATAGAAAACTAAAGACTGAGCAACAAAAATTGTACTTTATTAGATTTGTTATTTTTCTACCAAATATATTTTAATTTTGCCTGTTATGTTCTCAATACAAAATTAATAAGTTTATATACTTTTGGGACCATTCATAATACGATATGTTTGATATTTTGTTTTATGGGAAAAAATCAGGGTGGTGCGATAAATTTTTCCAAATATATGTTAATTGTCATTGGCTATGAACTTGATTCCAGTCACTGGGAGTTTGATCGCTACCTTGTGTCTTTTATTTTGCGTCAGTAGTTTTTTGTGCTTTGTACCAATCTGTTGAGTTGAGCTATTTGCAATTGATTTTACAGTTTGTTCTTATAGTTTGCCGTTACATCAATGTCCCAGCAATGTCCCAGGTTAGGAAGGGTTAAGCTCTCATAAACATTTTTCACCCCGCCACATTCTTTATTATCCAATACCTTACCAACACACGTCTACAATTTAAATGTCTATATCTTAAAATTATCGGTTGAGCTTGTGTTGTTGGTGTTATAACCATGACCACCTTTAAATAAATCTTTTTTGTATTTGTATAAAGATCGAAGGTATTTAAATATATAACAAATAAATATATGTTATCAGATATATATGTTTATAGCTGATAACACATTCTTTTCTGTTAAAGTCCACAGGGCTGTATATATCTCATTCGTATATTAATCAATTATGACTGGTAATATGTAGAATACACAATAGCGTAAGTATATACATGTGTATATATATATGCAAGTGTTAAACTGCTTAAGCGTAGGAAATGCGTGATAATATATTTGTCGATTTACAATAAGTAATCGAGCCAAAATTTTATCGACAGAGTTTTAAATGTTTGAAATACAGAAGAATAATTCTTTAAAGTGTGTATCAAGTTACTGTAATACATAACTGTGTTTAATAACTCGATCCGTATTCAAATGTTCAAATGATTTTTTCTAAATGTTAATCATTATCTCTCCCATGAAGGATAAAAATACCAAAGAAAAGGAAAATTCAATGAACTTGTATTCATTACGCATCTACTTAAAACCAGGTATGTGGATATATATAATCATGTACTTGTGTTATGGTTTTCTAAATTTGTATTTTGTGTGGGGTTTTCTTTATAAAAAAAATAACATATGCGCTTGTTTTCAGGACATACACCCAGTTACAAAATGTATATTATTCAACTTTCGATTTCATTTTTTACATTCATTGCATTGTCACTACTCAAATGTTGCTCTAATATTTCAACAATTTAAGTTCAAATTATTTAAATTTCCACATTCACTATAAGCATTCAATATGTGTCATATAAGGAATTATACATCAAAGCTTAAATAAACAAATGTCTATTCAATATAGTAAGCACAGATTCTCTACGTAAAATAGAGAGAGTATATATAAGAGGAGCTCGTTTTATTAAAAGCGATGACAGTAACGAAACAATTCTCACTAGCATGATAAACAGTCTTAACTGGCAATCCTGGTATACTACGATTGAAATGATGCGCACCTTTCCAAAACCGGTTGTTTGAACACACAACCCCATTTTTAACTGACTACAGTAAAACTTGCTTATAACGAATTTCTGGAGTCCAGTGGTATAACTTCACTACAAACGTAATTTGTTCTATTGATATAGCGAATTTCGTTATACAATATAACGAATTCGTTTAAGGGGAATATTGAGAACTGGACTGGGCAGTTTGGCCAATGAATCAATAAATGTATTGCTACATATACAAACATCACAATTTATATTTGAAACCTCGGAAAAAAGATGAGGGTGTCAGATTGTTTTGGCTTTCTTATTTACTTTTCAATTTCCAAATTTTCATCAATGTTGTTATGTGTTTCAAGTTTTGGGTGAACTGTCTCTCACACGAGTAGTCCATCACTAGTTGTTGGTATTTCCTCAGTTGGTTTGTTTGAGTTGAATAGGAAAAGAGACTGCTGATTAAAGTTATAATGTGAAAAATATATAGATAATAAATATGAAGATAAAGAAAAGATAGGCGAGAGATACCACAGGGACATTCATAAGTCGAAAATGAACTGACAACACAATGACTTAAAAAGAAAAAGACCACCAGCCAAACCACAGTTCATAAAACACAACATAGAAAACTAAAGACTGAGCATCGTGATATCAGTTGCATTGAAAATACTATGTTAATTGTATCAGGCTATAGCTATTTCAAATCATTGCCCTAAGTTACATTTTGAGAGAGTTAAAAGGTAAAAGGTTTAATTATTTATAGTTTTCGAGGATTTGCATGTTTATTTGAAAAAAAATATCTTTTGATTCTTCAAACTTTGTAGGTTGATTGGTCGGTTGAGAATAAAGGTAGCTACGATTGCTTTCTATAGATTGTCAGGTGTTTAATATATAGACATTTTAATTGTATATCTTTTATCATCTGAATTAAGATTTGAAACTAAGGCTATTATCAGCTCTACATGGACAGAAGGCATCATCACTAGGCATCCGTTGTAGTTCACGTCGTGCACTAGTACAAAACTGTTCTCTTCTTAAAACAATTGGCATTTCGGAATGAATTTTTACCACAATCATTCTATAGACATATAGATTTAAAATAGCGTCGTGTATCCCTCGTTGCCTCAAAGATCTGTTTGACATGAAACAATTAAAATCTCTTTTCACTTGCAATAGAATAAAATAGTCCTCTACCATTATAAATATATGCGTTATTCTAAACTTCAAAATGGATTGAAAGAGTAAGTCCAACTTCGTTTCATTCATAAGAAAGTCCGACGTAGATACAATTATCTTGTTAGAGAAAGGGGTAAATCTGACTCGGTAAAAAAACACTCTGATTCAAACAACAGAAATGTATCCGACGTGATAAGGAAACTCATATTTGTCCGCGTGTAAAATTGACTTTTTAAATCACTGAAAAAAACATTAAAATTAAGAAATAGGAATATCAAATTTTTTAAAAGGTTTGATTGTTACAAATTGTTCAATAAATTCCCCTCTTGTGCATTCATTGCCAAGAAAATAATTAATATTCTTCGGATTTAGTTTTTTCAGTGCTCTTGTCATGTTAGTATGCAATTTCCAGCATTGATCCAATGTAGCAACATTCCAGCAGCGCCTGCATACGGAGTCTATATCTTCCAGTTGATACGATATTCCTGGGCTTGTATTTCCTATCATGCGTTCCTTGATAGAGGGTTGCTGCTCGCAAGGAAGTTATAATGGTCCGAAGCCTACACAATCAACGTAATTTCCTTCTATATAGTCTATTCAAACGTAAATCATTGAGTCGCCAATTAACCGAATGACATTCTTGTTTAAAGTGAATTATTTCCTTCTACAAGAATAAAATGCATGGTTCAATTCTAACTGAACGAAGACGACAGGAGATTCTTGCACTAGGACCATTATTACGAATAATTGTTTTATATTTTGAATTCCGGGTAAAAAATTCTAAGGTTTTGCAAGCGTAGAAATGTCCCCTAATAGTTAATTGACTTTAAAACAAACATAAACTTTATTTTTTCATCCGTAGATTAGTACCTCAACACTGACATCAAACAAGATACCGTTACCAAAAAAAAAAAGACAATAGAAAAAATTTCTACTAATACTTATGTTGCAATGCTATTTGTCAACTGTTTTTGTTATCTTTTTGAACATTTGACCTGTGAAATTTTAAGATCGATTAGAAACAAGTGTTAAAGTTGAAATGCTTGATCAATTTGTTTTTTTTTTCAGGGAGATAAAGTTGAAATGCTTGATCAATTTGTTTTTTTCAGGGAGAATTAGTCCTAACACAGAATTGATCATGCATGAACAAATACTAATTATTGCATTAATAGTGTTTCTGGTGAGTAATTAATCATTTCCAATTATGCATATACGCACAAGAAGAATGTTCACCATCAATCAGGAAGGATGAGTTTTATTTGTCTTCTTTCACTATTATTCATGCAATACGACTTGCAATTTCATTTTTAAATGTTATGGTTAACACGACAGATACTCGAGTAGAGCAAAAACGGCTTTATTTTATTACCATCCGTATTTGTCAATTTTCCTGGGTAGCGATTTGTTAACTATTATTGTTATCTCTTATTTTGCCATCAGAATGGACACTTTTCAGGGGATAATTAAAATCAGTGGTCATCAGTGTAATTTTATAAGCAACACATATACATGATATAGGTAGTTTATGTATTAATCTTAGAAAAAACTATTGTGTTTTGTATAAGTAATTCCACAATGCAACAACTGATCTTTGCAAAATTTTTACAAATGGAATAGTTATCATGCTAATGATACCAGATATAACAGCTTTACCATAACCATATCACAAAGGTAAGTCAAGAGGCAAGAAATGTGTGTTTTTCTATGTTATAAAATCGTTTTAATTTTAATACCTCAATCTGTTGAACTTTATATTAATAAAAAAAAACAATATTTCTTGTCATATACATAAATTATCTACTACCAAAGATGAAGAACTGAATCTTTATTCACTGTATTGGATTACATAAGTGTCCATACAAACAACGTTATTTTGCTGGGTCTTCCAAGTGCTCCACGAAACCTCTTTCTAAATTATTAACATCAATTTTATCAGCAACAAAAGCCGGTCTTCAAAGATATTGTTTAATTACCTACTCGTGGGCGGCGTGAAACATATGTGGATAATAAAAAGCTCTTACCTCTTACATTTGTCTTTTCTGGCCTTTACACATAGTATTACCCATTCCAAACTTAAAGACAAAATAAAAGAATTTATACAAGCACCTGGTCTTAGAGAGGCATGGATCGTACTTTGTAAAATATCACTCTGATTCAAACTGACATTTTCAAGATGCTTGATTTCTTGATTAACAACATACCCGGTTGTTGTTACGTTTGGAGGATGTGTTTCCAACAAGAAATGAGCCTTCCCATAGGAACAGACTATGCTCTTCTTCTGAAAAGAAAAGAAAAGAACCAAATGAAAATGAAGAAGCTAGAAATATTCTTCAACGTAACCCTCCGCTAAATAGATGATAGGCTCTCACTCAATTATTGTTTGATGACTCTGTTGAACACATCTATCTCATCAAACTTGAAATAAAGCATACAACAGATACAGTAAGTCTGCCTCATATCTTGATTTACATCAAGAAATTGGCAATGAGGGTCGGTTGGTCCAGCAGCGCCTGCAGATGAAGTATATATATTTATCCCAGTTAAGACGATATTCAAGAGCTTGCATTTCCTGTCATGATTTCCTTGATAGAGGATTGCAGCTTACAAGGAAACTATTAAACAAAGAGTTCCAAGTGGTGATATTATAATCACCCCTTCAAAAACTTAACAAATGTAATCACGAGTTGGTTGACCGTTATTGAATATCTGTTTAATAGATGAGAAAGTTCCAATTGTCGAAATTGCAATCCCGTCCTCTTTTCCTCGAATGTGACCTATCGAATTAGAGTTATTGCCGGGTTTGTACTCACATGAGCAGCTCTACGGGTGCCACATGTTGAGCAGGAGTTGTTTTCCCCTCCGGGTAACCTGACATCATCCCCGGTCTTTTGTGTGGTTCGTGTTGCTCAGTCGTTATTGTTCTATGTTGTGTAATGTATACTGTTGTTTGTCTTTTGATCGTTTTTCGTTTTTTGCCATGTCGTTGTCAGTTTGTTTTCGACTTATGAGTTTGAATATCCCTTTGGTATCTTTCGTTTCTCTTTTATCGGGATACTCCTCTTTATGAATTATATACTCTTCTCTTTTATCAGGATACTCCTCTTTATGAATTATATACTCATTACCATGGATAGTAACATATTATTTGTGCCCTTCCTAAATAAGATATATTATCATTGGGTGTCTGTAGTAGCCATATTCAAGGTTTTTGTCCCTGGGGACTTTATAGTGATAATAGACCTTTCGGTGAGTTGAGGAAAGAAGAACGGTATTGTGACTATGACAAATGGAACATATCAGTTGTTATCTTTGACATGGATATTTAAAAATGGTCAAGAATCCCAGAAATGCAGATTGAAATTGTGTAATCATTCCAGGTGTTTTTCCGGCAATTTGTAGATGCAACCTTCATATTTTTCCATCTATTGGACTAACTATGATCAAATATATATCGGAAAATATGATTTTTAATAATATATTCTTTTTATATCCATATTTCCATATTCCTTTCCAAATGCTGTAGTGCTTTGCCTAGAAGTTGTTCATTTACATATATACCTTGTCTAGACTCATGGAGGACCTTATGAGCTCGACATATAATATAAATACACTTGTCTCTTATTGAGGACCGTGTATTGACAGCTAGATATCATTTTGTGATGTTTAGTCGTTAGATTGTGGTAACATTCTGTGTTCTGTGTGTCCATTAATCAAAATAGCGTGACGTATCTTCATTTATTGAAAGAACTTTAATAAAAGTTAAGACAACAATTATTTTTAAGTTGAGAGAAAAGTGACACTAACATTGTAACATATTAAATCATCTCTGAAATCTGTCTTCTCTAAATTTAAATTTGTATTTTACGTGCATTTAATACATTTAAACATATGACTATATTTTAGAATCATACGCTTGTATTTCTTTTTACATTTCATTGTATTTCTTTATTACAGTTTTCAGGTAAAACAAACACACTCATCAAAGTAAAATGTCCATCGGGAAAACAATTGTACCTGAGGGCAAAGTCAGTTTGTTTATCTGTGGAGAAATATACCTGCTTGTTGGATTATGTAAACAACATTAATAAAGAAAACTGCAACGGACCAAAAACTGAACCACCTGGTAGGTAATAATTCTGCAATCAACAATGAACAAAAATATAAGAGTTATAACATATTTGTCAGATTTGTTTTGAACCAAACGTAACAGCATCTATGTACGTTGTAATTTAGTGGGTATCGATGAAATATGACTGTCGTAAGTTTTTTTTATTGTTTTTCATATACATCAGGCCGTAGCATTTCTCTTTTGAATCCTTTCACAATTTGGGAACAAAAAATATACAAAATAAATACTGTACTCCTCCGGTGTTTGGAAGCTTTTTATATGATAAATCATTCGTCTATCTATTTAAAACTTTATGTTGACCTCTAGATGTCTTTCTTATTGTATTGCTTTTTGGTTACTGTCTCATAGAGATTACGATTCCCTCAGTTTTTGTTGTCCCCAAGGGTGACTGGTCAATAAAAACATGGTCACTTTTGGTCTTCATTTGACCGGCAGTGAAACCCTTGCAAAAGTGGATCGAGCGTTTGGTTGTGCGAGATGTATGAATATGCAGCAATGTCCTGTCAGAATTGGAACGATGAATATGCAGCAATGTCCTGTCAGAATTGGAACGGTATATCTGATGCCTCGTGAAGACAGAGTTTCACGCTTTCTGTAATTTTAAAAACCCTGCAACAGCTCACTGAGTTGTCCGTTTGAAGTCAAAAGTTTTGTTCCTGTCCAAAATAGTATTACCTCATTTTCTAGTGGCGGTTCAAATTTCCCGACCTTCATCCTCGGCAGGATCTACCTATTGTATGTATTGTTAATCTATTCTTATCCTGAACATGCATGAAATATTTGTTAATTGGTTGTTAGCCAAACAACAGTCAACCAATTTTTGTTAATTCAATTTGTCTCCTCCTTATCGGTAACGAGATTTAAACATTGGTAAACAACCGTCGACTTAATTCATCCAAAACGTCAGTTTAATTAATCAAATAACATAGCTGAGAGGGTTACAAAAATTGCAGATTGTTACCCCTCGCCTCGGTTGAAGATGTTTTTCCGGGGACTCATTCTGTTCTATCGTCCTCTCAGACATGCTTTTAATATAGTGTTCTACATTGGTCATATATCTATAATTAATAGTACTATACGAACAACATCACTTAACCCCATTAATACATTTTTTAAGCCTTCAGTATTATGTTTCTGTTCTATATGTTATATATCGATCTTTTTTTCCATAATTAAGCATTTAACAACAAGGATATTATAATTCTTCTTTTACCAACTTTTTTCCATCATATACGAGATTGATAATTTGTATAATTTTTTTCTGATTTATGCTTATTAGGACTTCAGAAAATTGTTAAAAAAACAATTTTTATTTAATATGCATAATTAGAAATTGGTTACATGCGCTTTGTGTTGTGAATTTTGTGATGGAGTATGTTTTGTTAGACATTGTAATCTTGAAGAACTGTAAGGCGGCTTAAATTTTCGTTACCAAATTTCACCATGCATTATGTACAATCCGCTTGTTTTAAAGCAAAAACAAAATTAAGATAAATATCGATCAACACAATTGTACATCTTTACCGCCCAAGATTTAATGGACAACATTTTACCTTTGTTCATCACATTCTGTATACGTGCGCGATACACATTATCGGAATGTACTACACTATGTATGCATTCTAGAGATCTGCAAAAGTATTTCTGTAACACAAACAATCACATAGTTTGTATAATAATTATAAGGTTTAGGGCATTTCTATGTACTTGAAGCCGCAATAAACTCTTCGAAAATGTTTTATCTGTTATACATTCATTTTTGTGTAGAGCATTTTGTATATTTTGAATATCATTACATTTAAAAACGTATCTTAATACTGAGAAATTTAGAAATGTACGCAAATGTTATTTTTGCAATCGTCGTACGTGAAATATGTAAATATAAATACAGTCAAGTATTTGCAACAATGTTGAATAAATTTGGAATATATTAAGAAACAATTGTATATTGTATATAATCTAATAAAACAACTTTTTTTGTTAATCCAGGCGACAAAACAGTGGTTAACAGCGGAAATTTTGACACCGAATCATGCTTGTTGATGAGATTCCAACCCTTTTCTTTTTCTACATCTCAAGGTAATAATTGTATTTACAAGAAAACAATGTGTATTGAAGAAGGACAACTGATTTATAGCAATGGAACTAGTGTATACGACAGAAAATGCAGATGCGATTATACAAAGAATTTTAGTTTTGTGTCGGCAAAAAGAGTTGACATGTGTTCTTGTGATCCAACAACTGAAGACTGTTCTTGTTACACCAAACTGTGCAGCATAGGACAGATTTTGACGCCTGGTAAGAATGTATGTACAGTTTATGTACAATAGTTTGGGGTTAGGATTATCTTGCAGATCAGTTGTTTTTGGTCAGATATCAAATGTGACAATTCTTACGGTGCAGTAATACTAATTTTCTTGATTTATACATCTAAATATGTAACAACTTAATGACAGACATTCTCTATCCAATAACTTAACTTAAACAGGCTAAAAGGAAAAAAAAAACTATAAGTTGTTTGCATTAAATTTAGATCCAAAATAAAGATATTTCAATTCGCGGAATCAATTTTTTTTCCTTTTCTCATCCTGAACCAATACTTTAGCCTCTGTAATATTGTGGTATCTCCGCCTGTCATTTGTCCAATGCCCATATCAATCTTCTAACTAGGCTTTAAAAAAGTATAAATTATGTTTGTCTCGTCGGCATGAAAACAGTTTATAAAGATAATGGACCTGGAAGATCGGCTGATTCTAAATATCTACGTCACTTATATACGGCTTCCCAATACTGCTGGTAAATAATTTTATCTTACCTTTTATACATTTCTAGGAATATCATTGGTTAAAAACCACCGCGTGGAGACCTTGTATATTTCATATGGGGTTAGTAGGCGTGGTTTATTTCAATACACGGTTAGTAGTGGTGTAACGTCCCTTTGTAAAAACAACTAGGTGTTGAAGGAAAATCTGAAAGGTTTCAACAGACGAAGAAATTGATGATGAACGATTGAAATAAATGCAGAAAACATTAAAAGCTAACAATTTGTTATTGTTGGCATTTGTTTTTGTATAGACCAATGAAAGTAGGTTCTTAATATTGAAGACATATACAATATATATGGGGTCATTAAATTCCATATGGGGTTTGAGCTTCCCTCTTACCCCCTATGGAATTTACTGACTCCATATATATATATATCGTATTAGGTCACTAGCAAACTATGTAAATAATAATATTTCCTTAAGCCCAACCCTTAAAGTACATATCTCTTAAAAACAAATTTCATAGAAATACTTGCGCATTGCAAGAAAATTTAAAAGTTAAGAGGAAAATCAAAATCGTAGATATCGTAAAATTGTACTGGTCATCTGGGCTTAGGTGCAGACATACGTTTTTGCGTTATGTCTTCTTTATCGATGACAGAAACTGTAAATAGAACGATTTATCTATCGAAAACATTTATGCTTCTAGATGATGACAATAATTATCATAAAAAAAAATTATTATTTCAATTTTTTTTATGAAAACGATTATCGTTCATAGCCCATCTGGATCGTTTTTCTTAACCATTATTCTCATGATACTTAATACTTGAACAATAATTCCAGACTACCAATGTGTCAAAATCGAAGATTCCTACGGAAAGTTTGTTTGTAAAGATATTGAAATTCAATCGTAAGTACACATGTAATGAATGCCTATCATATGACCAGTTCTATTCAAATGAACAAATAAGTGAGCCATTGGAGTTAACCATATCCTTTTATTAAATAAAAAAAAAAATGCTGGGGCTTTTGTGACTTATAACATATAATATGCACATCATTTTCTACATACAGTGCTTTGCCATGTTTACGGTATTTGTTCAATCATATTGGTGTTTGAATATGCAGCTTTCCAAATTAGTACTCACATATATTCGATTGAAAGCATTACAACAAATTGCAACTATCTTATGCAATGTTGAAAGCAGGCGTCTTAAACTGTTTTGTTGCTTTTTGTGCTCTCCAATCTATGTGTAGTTTTTTGTTGTTTTTTTTTAGGGGGAGGGGCTTTTCAAACTTTTGGTTTCAAAAATAAAATACAGGCGGAAGATATCAAAAGAATATTCATATTCGTAAGTCAAAGAAAAACTGAAAATGTCATGGCAAATAAACGAAATACGACTAAAAGACAAACAACATTCTAAAAAAAAAACAGCATAGAAAACAAAGATTGAGCAAAACGAACCTAACAAAAACTGGGAATGATATCAGGTGCTCTGGAAGTGTAAGCATATTTTGCCTTACATGTGGAACCCATAACACGTCATGCTTGCACGATATTTCTTGTAAGAAACATTACCATTCACCCTGACCAACATCGATCAATGAAAACAAGAATAATCTGCTTAATAGAAATAGAATTTTGGTTAATTTTATCGCAGAGTTTCTCTTTTAGATTTATTTGTGAAAGCTCTACTCTCTCTTCCTGCCCCTTCCGGAGCACCTGGGATCAGCTCCGGGTTTTTGTGGGGTTCGTGTTCCTCAGTTTTTAGATTTCTATGTTGTTTTTTGTTTACAGTTTTTTGTGTTTTGGCCGTTTTTAGTTTTTTGTTTTTTGCCATTGAATTGTCAGTTTGTTTTCGACTTATAAGTGTGAATATCCCTTTGGTATATTTCATCTCTCTTTTCCTGTAAAACATTCATGATCAGTCAGTACTACTATGGGGTGTTTAACGACATTGACTACTCATGAGGGTCTAGCAAGGTTGGTGATAAGTCAGTGAAATGGAATGACAACAAAGAAATTATTAAATATCGAAAAAGAGCCGTGTCATCTTTATCTATTCCACCTTTGTTTTCGCTACAATATGTCTGTTTTATTTCAATATTATTTCTCTGTACAGCATCGTCATCAAGAAGCTCATAATCTTGCATTATTATTAGTTATTCTATTTAGCTTGTTTGGGTCCAAAGCATTGATAAGTTGTCTCGACGCTCGTCCTTTTGAATCGCGCTTCCAATGCAAATAACCTCTAAATAATCTTTACATAAACAGCTAGTTGGCTTTTAAATATTTTTATTTAAGGAATGACTGTAATATTTTTTCTGTCTATTCAAAATAACATAAAAAAATGTGATGCACACTCTTAAAATAACCCGCTAAGCACATCAGTGTGTAATGTGTAATTCGGTTGCTTAATTAGATGGTCTATATTTGTATTGTATTATTCAACATAGTTCTGTACCAGAAGGGCCTCTGTAATCAAATTTAAAGTCTTCTTTTGCCAAAATTCAAAACGAGTTTTATTATATAAAAAAAAAAAATTCCGGACATTGTTTTATATCTAAATTCGGCATATTTGACAGCCGATCAGATTCAATTATCGCTTTCGATTGTTGGTAATTGTTCTGCTTCAGAAACATGAGAGTTTAAGTCCTGAATTGTTATGATATTTCTAAAATTTAAGCCAAATTATATATTGATAACGTCAATTAAACAGCAACCCTAGTACTCATACAAACTAAAAAGACACAAGCTTTTAGAAAGTAACGGAGTGCTTCGCAGATGCATAAATTACTTCAACATTAAGCGATATTTTTTGATCGAGTCTTGAATACCCATACTGTAATTTATCTCGTATCTTCCGTATTTGATATTTTCACCTGTCCAGGACATGTTCCCAGTTCTATTTCTCATTCTAGCCAATATAACTTAAGCGTCACTATAAGGCCACCAATCAGAACCGATAATTTTGAAATAAAATTTTTAAGGTGGCTTGAAGATCGAATGCAACTTATAGCTGAGCATCGTGGTGCAATCAAGAAATCAACAATATGTACAGTTTTAATAAAAATGATATGAATTAACAGGACGTACAAATTAGAGCCAATAGGGACATAATACAATGGAATGTCATTTGTGATATCACTATAATGTTATATCCCTATTTATGAATAATGATATACAATATATGCTAAAAAAACAATTAGTTTTAAGAAAACTGTGTTCATTCATTTAGTGTATCAATAAAAAGGTTAGTCCCTCTATGTTAACGTATAGCATCAGACTGATTTCTTCATATTTAGTTTAACCGTTTATTATACATGTATGATATCATAATGTCGTACTTAATTTTACATTATGGTACTGCAACTGTTTATCCTCAGCCATTGTATTTGTATTTATATTGTACTTTCTCTGTAAACTTGTATTTAATTTTTAGAGAATAAAGTATCTATCTATCTTTAATGGTTGTATGATTGATATTGATGAATAATTAATCACGCTCCACAGATTGCGTACATGTCAAATGCGAAGTAGTTTAAAAAACAAATTAAGATGGACAACGAAAAAGCTACAGAAGTTTCTGTGGAATGTGTTTTTCATTATCTAAAAAATTTTGGAACCTTCTGTTTTGGTCAGTATATATAAAAACTCATGAAACAATTGCTAATCCAATTGTAGATATAATTGTATGCTACTACTTTGGGGATTGCATATATTCATCGCTAGATTTATTATCTATGTATATAAATACTAACTTTGAAAATAATATCTTAAGGATTAATCGTTACATGTGAAATAAAAATTATCCGTGGACAGTCTGCTTGTCAACTGTATTATTGTACTAAAACACTTATTTTATCAATATTAATGTTTTATAAGACATATTGTGGAAAACTATCTTTTCCTGGCCTTGTCTCATTCCTAAATACACAATATTTTAAAATGAGGTTATTTAGTAGTTTTTGCAGTTTCAAGTTTACTGCAAGAAATGAGAAGCCCTAAAGTAAATATCAATGATAGAATTAAGAAATATATATACTGATTTCTGAAAATCACTTCTGAACATCTGAGGACATTATTTTACGGATTTATAATACTTTTTGGTTTTCGATTTCATGGGGCAAAAATTATCAGAGACTATCAAAAGTCTGCTATCAATACCAAATTAATTAAATGACAAAATCCACTAAGATATAACAAAATACAACATCAACTGACAATATTTCTGGTTCTAGACGGGCGCTTGAACATGTCGAGTTAACCAGTCTGTGAAATGATTCTCTGTCACTTTTTTTAAGATCTAGCATTTCTTCTTTAAACATCAATACGATTCCCCGGGATATAAGTTATGAACTATAAATGTGATTATAATGGTATTATTCATTCTTTATTTCAAGTTCACGTAATAATACCAATTCCAAACAATATTTTACTTAATATAGATTAAAGTCATACGAAACGATTTTTTTGTAATTTTAATGTTCCCGAAATTATTGAACCAATGCATGCATACATGCATATACTAAATGAATTCCTCTATTTTTTACATTAATTACGAATCTACAACGTATTATCGATAGATAATATTTCATACAGTGATTTTTGATCGCAAGCTTATTAACATTCGAGTGTGTTGCCGAAGTTTACCGGATCGTGAAATTAATTAACATCAACGCAGAATCTAGACCACGCGAAAAATAAGTGAATTGATAAAACGATGTTAACTTTTTTTATATTTTCCATGCAATCCCAATCATTAATAAAACTTTTTCACAATAGTTGTAAAATGATTTGGTGTATTTAATTTGTTCTTTAAGAATGAATTATCACGTTTTACCTGCCAGTGAACGTTTGTTTACATTCTTTCATCACGGGTTTTCCGCGTACTTGGTGGCCGAAGTTAAAACGAGAGGTCTCGTAATTAATCTCACTGCATATGGCAAAAAAAGGGGAATTGGTGTACGAGAAAACAATAATTCAATAGCAGTACATTTCTGAAGATTTTGATAAGATCAAAGATTTTCTTTAACAAGAAAGTCCACGTACACTTGTTTTAAAGTAAAACTTCGCCATTCAAGTACATAAAACATATTCAACTTTTTTTTAAATTTGAAATATCATATGACTTTATACGTTATTGATCGTTTTCTTGCAGAAGTGAAACTAAAGTTGAAAAATTAAATGAAAATGTATTAACAAATACAAATGAATTGGTCGGACAGAATGGAAAGAATCTTGGTACATAAGTAATGAATTATTTTTAATCGCTTCATCTGTATAGTGTTTCCCTTCTATTCCTTCGGAAGATATAAGTAGAAACATTAAATTATTTTAGTTATTCATGTATGAAAGCATTCATTAAAATGTTCTTTTTTCAATATAAATATCCTACGTCGGAGGAACCTTTGTTTCTAATAATTTTTTTTTGTATTTTGGCGGAAACAGTCCTTAAACATGTTATTTACAATTGTAATTTAAAAGGATAATTAACTTTATCATTTTTGAAAAAACTAGCTCATATTGAGTGAAACTAGGATATATATTTGAAAGATATACGTTTTTTACAAGTAACTACATTGTCTGTTCTAACTCATAACTCATGCAATGAAGGTACGGACTATATATGATGATTACATGAATACTTTCATAAAAATAGACGCCTGCTATATACTCCTTTCCGTTCACTTAGCACAAGAAACTTGTATTTCTTTAGTTGGCTTCTCACACTTATTCACCTAAACTTTTCCGATCTTAAAGTAAAATTAGATATTTATTAGTGCTTTGTATTTGTTTGTTTGTTTGGTTTGTTTTTTTTTATTTTATGTAAGATGTAAGTAGAAACATTAAATTATCTTAGTTATTCATGTATGAAAGCATTTATTAACATGTTCTTTTATCGATATAAATATCCTACGTCGGAGGAACCTTTGTTTTTAATACTTTGTTTTTTTGTATTTTGTCGGAAACAGTCTTTAAACATGTTATTTGCAATTGTAAATAATATTACGCTTTAAAAGGATAATTAACTTTATCATTTTGGAAAAAATAGCTCATATTGAGTGAAACTAGCAAACAAAATATCGGATTTATATTTTAAAGATATACTTTTTGTACCAGATACTACATTGTCTGTTTTAACTCGTGCAATGAAGGTGCGGACTACATATGATGATTACATGAATACTTTCATAAAAATAGACGCCTGCTATATACTGTATTTCTTTAGTTCGCTTCTCACACTTATCCACCTAAACTTTGCCGATCTAAAAGTAAAATTAGATATTTATTAGTGCTTTGTTTTTGTTTGGTTTGTTTGTTTTTTATTTTATTATTTTTGTTGCCTTAAATCGTCTTTCTCACAATGACTCTAACCTCTCCAATATAACTACCACGGATTAACAACTGTGATAATGTATGGATGCGTATAATATTTGTATTTCTTGTATCCCGAATACATTTTTTCATGTTTAACATACATTTTAATAGACCTTTACGGTATAAATGTGAATGTCTTAAAATGATAAATATTTCATTTTGTATTGACTTCTTTTATATTTTACCGAGTTGAAGTTTAGTACGCAAATAGTAACTAACGTTCAGTCATGCAAAGTTATAGACATATATCTATAGAAACAGATCTGCCTCAAACCCAGTGTCACCATTATCCATAGTTCATGCTCTCACTGATTTTGGTTACAATTTTACATATTCGTTTAAATTTTCATTTATTATATAACAGCAATCATGCAATGAGGTACTTGGAAGTATTCAATGGCTGCTGTCAGCTTATTTCAAAGTGTAGTTACTCTCATATATATCTACTATATTATACATGTACATTGAACCTTAACTTGGATGCAACTTTATTTTTCAAAAAAAATGTTAAGATATAATTGGAGAAACATGGAGCATACTGTAACAGTTCATAGCTAATGTTATAAATACTTCACAAAACTCTGTTACTCTGTTGGATTTATTATATATTTAAAACATTTATCATGTCCCTGTTATTTTTATTAATAGAAGTTTTGATTGTTTGCTCAGCAGGAATCATAGTTGTTGGTAAGTAGGTATTTGAATCGTCACAAATACATCACTAAAGACACAATTGGTGATTTTTGTTTTAAAACTGAAACAAAAAAACATTTTATAATATGTGTTCATCAAATTCAACCAACATTTTCGGAGATTAAAATTTTCAGATTTTTAGGGCCAAACTTATTACTTTACTCCTTTCGATTTCAAGACGATGAAGTAGGTACTCCTTGGGGTCAAATTGGAACTAATATAGTTTTGTCCAAAATTCCTTTAATATTCATAATCAAAACGTTTAATTTCTTAACTTGACATACATTTGTTAACCTGCAGTTTTGGGTTGCCATATTTTATTTTCATGCGTAGAATTGCAAATATCCCTTGATGACGTGAAACACTTGATTAGTTAATATTTAAAAATTCTATCTTACATCGTGAAGGTTCTAGTTGCTACACTAAAGAAACCGTTAGAAGTTTACATTTATGTGTTCAGTTTCAAGAATTTTGTTCTCTTTATTTTCAATTAATGATATTAAGTTATATTTTCTTTAATGTAATCGAGAAACATATATAGTTATTCTTTCAACATATAAATGGTTAATACTAAAAAGAAATAGATGATTATTTCAGAATTCAAGATGCTAGTGTGTATCATATACATCATTTGTGATTAAATCAATTACTTTGAGTTGTAATCATTTTTACAGATGAAACGCCTGATTGCGACAACCTCTTTAACATGTTTAAAAAGAAATGGGTGATTAAAGACATATCACTTGATTCATTTTTGTTATTGTTTCAGGTATCCTGTGTATGTTCCTTATCCCACTATTACATGAAACAGTTGAAATATTTAACACAGGTATGAAATTATGAACCTTTCCTATATACATAAAAAAACATACTAAATGAGTATTATTTTTGTTTTCTTCTCATTAATGTGTTTTTCTATTTTGGTTATCGGGTTTGCATCACATAATAGTGGAGAAGAATGTTCGTCTCCTTTGGAAACACATGACAATGCTTCCATTTTCCATGGTGCGTGTTGCTAAATCATCAACTTTGCATGTAACATTTTGCGTACTATTGCTAGTCTTTTTTCTTTTTGCCATAATTTGTTCTCCGTTACTTATTATTTTTAATTCATGTCTTCTTAAACAGAATACTGAAGTTAATCACTGAAGATCAAATAAAAAATAAGTTTAGTTTTATGTATTTGTTTAAAACATTATTAAACTAATTGTGTGACTTGTATGGGGTTATTGATACATAACGGCTGAAAATCTGAAATTGAATTGTATCTATCTTATAGGACATGAAAACCTTTTGGTACACCTGCCTTTGTTTTCATACTTTACTGAAATGTCTTAGTGTGTGTTCCTTTAGTTTATTAAGAGAGTAGATAGTTTACTGGGGTGTTAGCCACAGTTAAGACAAAACAAATAAAGTATGTATTGTTCTTATATTAATAAAAGTAGAATATTGAAATAATTATTCGCTATAAGCATACAGTTGGTTCAAGTTTGTAAAATGAACCTAAACAGCTTCACTGATATAGTATTGCCTTACAAGACACTAATTCAAAATAATTTGAGTTCGGAAGCATTTAACCTTTGTTTGACCCTTAGTTTGAATAGTTTCAGAGATTCTGGAGATGTGGGTAGCTGACTTATACTGTGTTGCTTGGTTAGACCAACAACACTCTTTGGTTTGTTGTCAACAAAGATAAATGAGCAAGAGCCTGGCATAGAAATGAGTAAAGCAGTGAAATATGTTTTACGATCTTTATCGTCAAACGCGCATGGAGTAGTCAAATAAAATGAGTGAAATTATAATCGACAATATCGATACGATATGAACTGCAAATAATAGAAGCATCTAATTCATGTATATCATCAAACTTCGTATGCTTATAATTTCGATACGATTCAATGACCTTTCCAATTAACATATTTACTTATATGAAAACTATCTCACTAAAGTGATGCACGTGTGCGCAAATTGAACCATTATGGAAAAGGAAACTTAACCAGTCTTAAGAGTACTTTGCGATATATTTGCCAAAATTTATTAAGCATGTTTAGAAAAATCAGTCATTCAAAAATAGCAAAACAGAAAAAAGCAACCTTATATACGAATAATAAACTATTTGACTCACCCCAAACAGTAATGAGTAAAACGAGCAGTTAGTTGTACAGATTTATTCTCAAAATTTACCTCTACATTTTTGGGGGATTGTTTCAGGTACAACTAATTAAATGTGTTACTTAATTGAGTAAGGTAGTTACCCTTACGATGGTCTATGCAAAGAGTATAGAAATAGCGATTTAAAACTTCTAATAAATACAATAAAGAAATGTTAACTGACCAGGTGGTCTTGACATGTGTTGTTTACACAACAATTTGTAAATCCGGAAAATGATGCTTGACTTCATCCAAATTACATGTGCTTTTGATTTAGAAGGGATGGGTGTAAAAATCGGTCAACACGTTGACAATAGAATACTTGTTATTTATAAACATATTTTATTTCTATAAACAGTAGTTAGGTAAGAGATAATGCCAATATAATAGCTGCAAAAACACATTTTCTCAAAACTAATTCATCTAAATTAACAAAAAAAAAGTTTCGTTTGTTCATTTTGCAGAAACTAAATCCTTACAACAATCTCAACTGAAGATAAAATTAACACTTTGACAACTTCCCTCTACTACAGCTGATTCTTGAATCTTTTTCATCTTGAAAAAGAATAATGATAGGCAATTGCTTTGGAAAGTAAACAGCAATTAGCAATTCTTGTAAATACTTTAGTAATTAATAAATAAAATTAAAAACTTTGAGCTACGAAGGTGGGCTAATGTCCCGTTAAAACATTTTACTTTTTTTTAACAAAATCGACCATTGTTTTCACAATAGTACTTTTTTAAAGGCAAGATGGCCACAAAATGATACACCATTAATCCGTATACTATTTTGTAAAGCATTTAATACCGCAATACATTTAACATGTTTAACATGTATCATAAGGAAACTATCTTTGGTTTCTTTATTATTAATTCCGTTAAATCATTTTTTTCCATATCTCTTTATGTAACAGTTGTATGAATGAATTCAATATTATTGTAAAGAACTTATTAAAATGACTGCAGGAAAAATAAATGTAAAAATTACTTTCGAATTTTTTGTCTTTGCTGAAGATCAAAACACGAAGACAAAAGAATATAAAAGTAAATATAGAATACACAAAGCCAAATTGGAGTCTTACCAGAACAAACCATATGAATTTACAGTATTAAAAGATCTTATTGAAGGTAAGTGAGCTATTAATTATTGCATAAGTATTTTTTATTCTTCTTCATATACCCAGCATCCAGCATATAGTAAATATCACCTACTATTTATATCATTATATGTTAATCACCTTATGTATTCATCTTATTAGAATTGAATGTAAAAAACAATTTCATTTTCAAAATACATCATATTCTAACTTCACTCTGGGCAAAATATATTTTGAATTTATAAAAACATACATTTTCGCATTTTAGCATTGGTACAACCCGTGTAAAGCTAAGGACTAAGGACGTAGCTCATACACATTTAGTAAATAAAATAATTTCAGACCTTAACTCATAAAACCATTACCCAAAATAAACTTTAATTGCAGTCATACTATGAAATAAAGATCTTTTTGTATACCCTATTGAATTCGTATAATACAATAAGTTCAAGAAGTAATCAATCTTTGGTCTCGATAGTATTTGATGTGCATTTCATGGACACCAAAATCAGTATCATACATTAATGCATATAGGGGACCAGAAAAACCTCAAGGACTAATAACTTAGTGTCCACATTATCAACTTGTTTGGCGGTTAAGATGAATAGCAGACTTATAAGAAAAACAATTATAAAACTCGAATAAGAATAATCATATCAAATTACAAAAGAAAACCTGTACTAAGTCAGGAGCCTGTTGTTCAGTGGTTGTCGTTTGTTGGTGTGGTTCATAAGTGTTTCTCGTTTCTTCATTTTTTTATATAGATTAGACCGTTGGTTTTCCTGTATGAATTGTTTTACACTAGTCATATCGGGGCCCTTTATAGCTTGCTGTTCGGTGTGATCCAAGGCTCCGTGTTGAAGGCCGTACTTTGACCTTTAATTGTTTGCTTTTTATACATTGTGACTTTGATGGAGAGTTGTCTCATTGGCACTCATACAACATTTTCTTATTTAAATAGACAATAACCAAGCTGACAAAAAAGGGATGAAAAGACAAAAATATCCCCAATCTACAAACTATGTCTCGTGAATTACAAGAAACCCGGGAGTGCCCTTGACATTTCGGGAAGGGTAATATAAGTTCCGGTATAACAGAAGCAGTTTGTGAAGGTGCGTGATTACTTATTGACGGTAACCTTCTTCATATATGTTATTGTGACGACAGAAAAAAGTAAAATAGCAAAAACAACGAACGTCAAGGAAAATTCAAAACGGAAAGTCCTTAATCAAATGGTAAAATGAAAAGCTCAAACACATCAAACGAATGGAAAACAACTGTAATATTCCTGACTTCGTACAGGCATTTACTTATGTAGAAAATGATGGATTAAGGATGTTCGCTCCTCTTGTTTTTGAATTTTTGCCAGATATTCGGAATCCCTTGGTTTTATCCATGTAATGCCATTAAAAATTTTGCCCACTAACCCCTACTTTTCTTTCCATAATTTGATTACATATAGTTTAAAATGTCATCTTTGAAAAATCTTATAAAATCCTTGTTATTTCTTCATCGTTTTTGAAAGAAAAAGGTGTCAATGTTAAATCTATGAAAAATCTAGAGAGAATTATTTCCCGCCAGATTTTCAATGGCTTATATCTCGAAAACAAGGACACGGACCCTTCATTTTTTTCTGCTTTTTTAGTTTCTTTATTTATATACTATTAATTTATAACAGTCTTTTAAAAATCTTGTGATTTTGAAACAGAGTAGCGAACATCCTTAAATCTGGTTTTATAGCTAGCTAAACCTCTCACTTGTATGACTGTTGCATAGAATTCCATTATATTGACAACAATGAATGAGCAAAACAAACAGACATAATATGTAAAATAGTCAAAAATTGGGGTACAACAGTCACCATTGTGTAATAATCTCAATCACTATAAAAACAAATAACTATTTCAGCAATGAAAAACAAAATCGCATACAAACACTCTATAGGCAAAGTACATAAGCAAAAACGAAAGACAAGAATACAAAAAATGACAATAGCACAATATCACAATGGCAGGATGTGTAAATACAAAGCCACGCCAAAAGTATATTACCAAAAATGGAATAAACAGTTAAGGTTAAATATATACAAAGACAAATAAAAAGCGCACTATAAAACGTAATTAAGAGCATAAACAACATCAGTACCTAGAATCTATACTTCAAGACCATCATGTATTATTTGTGAAGTTGATACGGAATAATTATCAACAAGGTCTTGGTATTTTCCGATGAACTTTTTAGAAAAAGGGCGAGATGTTGTTTGACATAACCCTGGTTCATCAACTTTCTGCCCAGACATCGGTGACGAAAAGATTCTTTACGTTATTGTACATTTTGTATTTTAGATGGAACGATAGAAATTTATGATTCTCCTAAAAATACGACATATGTAAGTAGTTTAAATGATGTTAGTGTCGTTTGTTTTATGAAATAAAACTGCTTGAAGTTTTTTTTAAGAAAAACTACATTTTAATAATTTGAATGCTAGAATGTTACTGACTAGGATAAACAATATAATAAGATTGATAGATTAAATCCAAATTTTATATAAAAATTAAGAGCTGTGGTATATAATTGCCTTTGCGACATCTGGTCAACTGGCTTACAATTCAGTATGGGATTTGCTCAATGTTGAAGACCCAACGGTGACCTATAGTTGTTAAATTCTACGTCAGGTGGTCTCTGATAGAGAGTTGTCTCATTGACAATCATACCACATCTTTTTATTTTTCTATAAAATCTCCTTCTTTGACAAGAAAATTACCCTGTGTTTACCCCCTTTTGTCATTTGAGTTGGTTCATGGTCTTTTATATGGTTTCACTGTATTGAAAAAAACAAGGCCTGTTTGCATCTAAAAAATATCAAGGTTATCAAGATGATATCTTAACTATTTAAATCCTTGTTTAGATAATACTATTTTATCTGATTTTGCTGAAATGTTCAGATACTTTAACCTAAATATAAAATTTAGAACGAAAAAAAGGTCGTTATGGCTAATCTTAGTGGAGCTGGAAAAGGAAAGTTCTTCCATTTCGTCTCACCAAAAGTTTGTATGCAGGAATGCATACTACTTAGGCATTATTTATTTCTGATGGTACAAGTTTTTGTCGATTAAGGAAACATTGTATTTCGAAAATACTTGATTTCTTGATGTGGCCAATATCTGAATACAAGCCTTAAAATTATTTGTACTTTGTTTAACATTCATATTAGTTTATAACCTCGACCAGCTTCCCATGACATCCTCAAAAATAGGAATCCAACGAATAACTATAAATCCGCAGTAAACGAAAATCAATAATCATACACCAACCAATAATAATAACTTGTGAGAGACACATAAAGAATGTTGCGGGATTATACATAGTTGTAAGTACATTCCTCCTAAATTGCGAAGGTGTAACAACACAACATAAGAACAAACTGTAAAAGGTTTAACTGATAACATCGATTCTAAGCGGACAACAATAATATATAAATATTAAGATTGGAAACAAACTATCAACCTATCAACTGCTTAACAAAACAATTTTAACGTTAAATATCGATTTCAGTTGAGAGTTCATGACATATTTTCTTATGTAAAATCACTCATAAATTCAACAGTCTTTGCAAGTGCAAAAGGAAGTTTATAAGACGAGAATACTTGTACAGACATTTGCAGAAAATTCATGGTTTGGATAAAGTAAAATCAATAAGAATGGCAATGAAATCTACAAGAGGTGACAAGAATCAACAACCTTCCTATTATGAAGATATCAGTGAGGATGACACCATTTTCGATCTTATAGAAGAGCTGGATTTCAGTGACACATCACAAACATTCGATGTAGATAAAATTATACCAGATGAAAACAACAATGAATCTCAAGATGATAATATGGGGCAACAGTTAGAGGTATCTGATAGTCAATCATCCAACGAAGAACCACCAGCTGAGCATATGGAGACGGACATCAATAGCCAGGAAAACAACATTGAAGCCGTTAGTGTAATAACAATAAGTGACGACGAGTTGAGTGAATACACTACTGTTGGACGGTCAGGAAAATATGTTCAGACAGTTATAATATCAATGAGGAAAAGAACACACTATGTGAATGGAGAAGAAACAGGCAGCACATATGATGTAGTTATTGACTATTTTGAACATTTTGTGTGACATTTTTGTGGTTGGGAGTGTCGCGAATAGCGAAAAATTCATTATTCAAATTTATGGACTGTTATTCTCCGCTTAATATTATTTTGAGCTCCGCTAATTATTATTAGAAATTTCTCCGTTCTTTGTAATTTCGACTCCGGTAATTGTATTATTATGTGAAAATTTTCAGGTACTTCATGTGAATTTCGTGCAACTGGTTTATATTTGACTATAAAAGCAATTTGAAACTATCATTATATTATTCTTCATACTGTTGTTAATGTAGTTCAAGTGTCGTATTAAATATAAAAAAGGGATTATTTGTTATTATTTTCCGATGTTAGTGTTACCAACTATCTACACAACAAGGTAGGAAAATGTCGGAAATAAATTACACATTATAAACATCATGACAAGATATAAGACTAAATTGCACTTTCGTTGATCTGGTTTTTTTTTATTGATTATATATTAACTGTATGTGTTAATATAAAAAGTTTGGGAATGAAGTAACGAAACACCGACCTAAATCATACTAAAGAAAAGGTATATTGAAAAAAGTAAAATTGAAACACTTGTTGAGCGTAGAGGTCAAAGATGTATTGTACTACTGTAAGATTACCCTTAAAAAAATGAAGTAAAGCAGATGAAGTCAATAAAATGATCTTAAACACGGCCTATTTGACCTTTTCGGCAATAGCATTACCCTTTTTGAAAATACGGGTAAAGAAGAAAATAAACAAAAAACCGAACGAACACAGATAAAGGTAGATTTGCAATGCAAATTGATTGTACTAGCAAAGCAACAGAGAGTAAATTTGAAATACTAGTACATTGTGTAATTAATTTTTGACTATTTTGTTAGAATAAAGGTATGCTGACACCACATTTCGAATATGTAGTAAAATTGGTGTCTGAAGTATGTTAAGGCAGATACATTTTAAAGAGTAAGCTGTACGTTTTTAAACTGATTCAATTTGTTTACAAAAATTGGAAGATATGCCAATGAAATCTCTGACTTATTCAAGAATCGTTGATACTAGAATATTATAGGCTGTCGTGACATTAATGGCTTAATTTCTATTCATCTTAATACGATTTTCTTGTTATAAACAAAATTTTAATAGTATTGAAGTATCTTAAATATCTTTCTTTCACAGATTGCGCACACTGAAGAGGAACAAGCAATACAAAAACTTTTTGAGGAATATAAGAGTGATTACATTATTCGTAGAAGGGAAGTAGAGCATTAAAACACAACTGTTATTGGCGAATTGAAGAAATGGGCAGGGGAAACGTTTCGGTATTTTAAAGCATGGATAGGGTACAAAGACACTAAACAAGAATGCTTTGTGTGAAATTCTTGATAGACATTTTTAATTAAAGATATGTAGTTTATAATGAATCTATGCTTATCTCAAATCACTTAAGACCATGTTAACTTGCAATACGAAACAGAACCGTTTCAAGCAAATAACCATTATGCTATTACAATGACACGAGGTTGATTTCCTATAAGTGCGTGTGACATGAGATAACTTGCATTAAAACACTGGTCTATCACTGTGTATACATATACAACTATGTGATTATTAAAGTATGTTAAATTCATTTACAGATACTCCCTGATAAATTTAAGGGGCTATATGGTGGCCTTATCATACCTCCTCCTTTAGCATTATAATACCTATGATGATTAAGATAAGATATTCCTCATTATAAGAAACCAGGTTTTAAAAAGACATATTTGGAGTCTAAGTTTACCTTAGATGAGTTTGGTTATTTTTCATACGTCCTTTCTGGTTACATAGCCCTAAAAGGTTTTCCGTATTTATACATCAACGAATTTCAAAAGTTTGAGGTTCAGTGTTCATGATGAAGCGTTCGGACGCTAGAAATTTATTAAGGTTATTCAAATATGCAGACATTAATTACTTTAATCTGCAGGTCAAGATGCTGTCTTCACATAATTTTCCAAAAGAATATGCTATATGTAAAGCACTTAATCTCCCCAAGTCAAAATCAGTAAGCATGAACTTCACAGGGACTATCAAAACTTTACCCACAACATAAAGTTTCCTAAAGATAAAATAAAAGATACAAAAATCAAATACCAGGTCGATGACTTCAGACATGCAAAAACGCATGTGAATAACACTAAAGATATCCTTTTTTTTTATAAACAAATATATATCTGTGTCTACTCTTTCAGTAAGTTGTTTTTGTTCTGCATACGAAACTCATCTGGTTTTATCTCCTTGATGGATAAAAGTTCATTATTGCATTTCTTTCCATATTTATACCTAAAGTAAATATTTTTGTCCTGAAATGAACTAAACAGTACACACAACGGGAGTAAATTGTCGAGCAGTCAGGAGTGCCTGTAATTACACGTACTTTTGATTTTGTCACTGATACTTAACTTTTAGAATATTGTATCTTTAGAGATTATGCGTCTTTCTCCTCTTTTTGGTTGTCCCTTTGTATTTTCTTATCCTTTGCATATCAATCATATTTGTCAAGATATTTGAATTCGCAGTAGCTGCAAACAAAAATATACAAATATCATTCCAATTCATGAAGTAGCTTAAATAGTTTCTTTATAGGTCACAAGCGTAGGCAGACATCTGTAATTAGATATGCATAATGACATTTCATTGAAAAGTAGATTTTTTGCACCTGATTATGTCTTAATTAAGTCGACAGTAGTTTATCTACGTATGGAGTATACGTGTCTCAACTCATACGATATTCAAGAGCTTGCAGCTGCTACTAACATTTTGTGAAACGTCATCGGTGTCTGAGCAAAAATAAATGAGCCAGGGTTTTGTCAAAGAACGTCTTGTAATTTTTTCTGCCATACAAGTGGGAGCTCGGTATTTGTTAATGCTTTTTTGAAGATTTTGAAATTACCCAGGTGACAAATCTAGTGAATCCATATCTATCGTCCGAAGAAAGCTCAAAGCGCAATCACAAAGAATTAAAATAAGAACTTTTCAAACTCTTATTAGATTATTACTAAATCATATTATGATAAATTGTAAAGGACCCATAAACAAATGAAAATATAAGATCGATAGAAATTGTTCAGAGACGGGCGTCGAGGTAAGCATGTAACAGATATCATAAAAACAGCAGTGTATCTGAGATGTTAGACACCATGAATTGGCAAACTCTCCAAGAATGCCGTCTACGACCTAGACTAATAATATTTCAGAAAATAGTAAATGAAAATATGCATAATGTATTACATCAGAGTCGGTCTATGACAAGATCGTCTCATAAAGACTCCTTCAGACAAATTTAATGCAAAAACGACAGCTACAAATTGTCTTCCTGTTGTCAAATCATTAAGATTGGAACAAATCCTCCTCAGAAATAACCAAAAAACCTTTACAAAACCTTCAAGGGAGAAATCACTCACGATTTGCTTCTTTATACTCACCCACACCTAAAATAAATAGCAATCATGTTTTTATCATAAATAGAAAAATAATAAAAAATGAAATATTGGAAATAAAACAAAAGCTATATACTCTGAAAACAAAAGAAGAAAAAAAATGATACAAATATAAAATGATGAAAATAAACAATATCAAAACATAGATTTGACAATCTATATTCTGATAATAATTGATAAATTTGAAAACATATACAAGGCATGAACCGGAAAGTAAACATCAGTATGTTTACGGTTTTCTGTAACCAAACAAGATCCCTCGAAATGCAAATTCAAGATCAGTCAAACAAAATTACAATAACTTATTCGATTTATTCATCTCAATATTTATCCTGGTGTTAAAATAGTTTGAAAGTATTAGAAATATAATACCAAAGAAAAAAACTTTTGACACATTTTTTTACATGCTTTTTGGTTCAATATTTCAAATTTGTAATTTTATCTATCAGACAACTACGTTGTCATCTCTAACAAAAGTCAACACAGAGCTATTTGAGGACAACTCAGAAACGTCATTCGTTCTTGTTTTTGTCTCATCATTTTCCACCGATTAATTTCAACTACTAATGCAATGCATTGTGTTCATGTGTTGTTTTGATACGAGATCATTGATATTCCTTCCCAACATATTAGATCATGACTCGGTACAGGATATATAGCACTTGTCTTATGTAGAACACGAAAAATGCGATATGTTTAACTATTTTTTTCTTTCTTTTCTATGTTTAATTATTTATGTTGTTGTTTGTTTATTGTTGTTCTGACCTATTTTTCCTTTCTTTTCTACGTTTGATTATTTCTTTTGTTGTTTGTTTATTATTGTTCCGGCCTTTTTTTGTTTTTCCAAAGGAATGGAGTGTCATAAACTAATTTTTTTAGATCTTTTTTTTTTTAAAGGTTTTATCGAAGAGTTTAGTTTTACTTCCGAGTTTGAAGTACAATCCCTCCAGTTAGGGGTTTGGAATCAGACCATCATAAAATATATGGGAAAAACCCGTATCATGCCAACAACTGGTTTTATGTGTTTATTTCCGATGCAAAGACCCTATGAGTGAATCAATATTAATTCCAAAATATGCCATTTTTAATGTCCTGACAGCAGTATCGTAACTATATCCCTTCTGAATAAGTCTGTTAAAGATTTGGTTAGCTTTTGAGGTGAATGACGACATTTTTGTGCTTTGTATAGAATATTACCATAAAAGAATGGATGTGAAATACCTGAACATATAAGATGTCTGCATGTTGATGTATATTTACGAATGATGTCCTTGTACCGATGATAAATTTAAGTAAATGTTTTGACAAGTGTGTGATATCAAAAACCCTGGTGTAATTATTTTTCGGTTATACAGAGATTTCTTTCGTTAAAATCAAATTCGTTGTTACATGTACGAGCGAATCGAACAATTTGAGATATATAAACACCAAAAGATGTTTACAAGGGAACGTCACCATCTAAAAATGGATAATTAACAATAGGAAATGAAAAATCATCTCTTTTATCGTAAATATTGGTATTAAGCTTCCCGTTAAAGATATAGATATCAAGATCCAGGAAAGTGCAGTGTTCATTGTTAGTGTTAGCTTTATCAAAGTCATTTCAGCAGGATCAATCTATTTAGTGTACATACTGAAGTCTTCATTATTAAGAGCCAATATATTATCCAAATCTCTAAAAGTGTTATTAAATTTTTGTATCAGATGTTGTTTTTATGGGTCTTTGCTGATTTTAGTCATAAATTGTAACTCATAACAATACAGAAACAGGTCCGCAATAAGTGGTGCACAGTTAATCCCAATTAGAATTCCGATAACTTGACGATAAACGGAATCTCTATAGCGAACAAAAAAGTAAAAATTCAAGTGTTGTTATCGTATCAAAACAGGTCCAATTGACATAGTTATTTTGTTTGTTTTTACTAAAAAATGACCTAAAAGAGTTTGAACATATATATTCGCATTCTGACTTTTAAAATGCTCATTTAATTAGGTGTGTGATTTTTTTCTAAATGAGATGCTCATTTCTGCATTTACCTCCATAAAAACGCTCCAAGTAAAAATGTCAAAAATCTATAAATACAATGAATGATATATAACAGAAAGTAACCCAAAAATACTTTATTAACAAAATTAGCCAGCACATATGAACATTTATTTTTGTTAATACACTAATCATCTGTTATTCCTATTCTTATTTTCAAAATACAGTGAATTTTCGTGAGATAGTTGAACATCATTTATATACGAAATTGTTTTGCATGGTTAAAATTTCAAAAAAATTGAATCAAAACATGTAATTATGTTATAACTTTGGTTGCAAAGAAACGTTAAGTAACAATAAATATTATTTAGATATGTTCAAAGACGCTGAAACTACAATATACTATCGGCACAAAGGTTTCTAACCCATTCAAGAACCCGGAGGTTGTGGATGCTTTATCCTCTTTGCAAAACAAATATGTTGTTGTTCCAGCAGATAAAGCCTCCAATAATAATGTCTTTATATGTAAAAACCATAACTTGGAATGTCTCACAAAAGAGCTTGGAATAAACAGCAAAACTGGTAATCCTACATGTTCTTTAACATCATTTACAAAGGATAATATTTTACAAAATCTTAAAGCTGTCCTTCTTTCTTTTGGAATTATCATCAAAGAAAACGAAGAAAATCTACGGTCATTATACTGGATACCAAAACTTCACAAAACTCCTTATAAAGAACGATACATATCTGGATCATCAAGATGTTTAACTTAACATCTTTTGAAAGTGCTTACTACTATTCTTTCTACAGT